ATTTATTTGGTGTCGATCAAGCTATAGCCATAGAGGCGTACCAAGGTTTAACCCTCATCGATGACGGTGACATAAAAATCCAAATTCCTTGATGGCGGGGATGGCTTCTGTACAATCTAATTTCATGACCTGTAAACATAAACAAGTATACACAATTAGAGAGCTAGGGATGGTTTCTTGGTAATCATATTCAAAAGCTCGAAATTGAGAAATCTGAAAAGAATATATGAGAAATCAAAATAAAATTAAATAAATGACAGAAAGATGTTTTTACCAGTTTACCAATTTTTCTTCATTTGAAGATGAAAACTTAAAACGGGTTTTAGAGTATTGGACAAATCTGCAACAAAAGGTGGAGCGACAAATAACTTCAGACCTAGGGTTTCTTAATGGAGGTGTGCAATGTTGGCAACGAAGGATAGTGCGGTGGTGAATCACGGAGGCCGACGATGGTGATAGTGAGGATGGATCTCGTGTCGATAATGGGAGGCGGTAGGTTTTACGCAAAGAGTTTGAAGAGACTGACGAAAAAGATGTTCTTAGAAATTCAAAAAAATCGATATTAAACACGGATTTAAAGGCCGGAGGGCAAATTTGGAAGTTCACTTAGTAAATTTCTAAACTAAAAAGATGACACGTGGACAAAATGGTTTCTTTTATTAGAGTTAGGATTTCGAATGAAAGATAATGTCCTCTTGTTATAAAACAAGGATAACGCTTTTTACATAGAAATTCATTTAAGCGTAGTTTTTTTTATCTTTGCATTTTTTTTTTGTCTTTTGTAATATTGCGGAATAAACTATAGACCATATGTTCTCTTCTTGCGAGTTTCCCTCCAAGATTTGGGCATAGCATAGATGATTAGATGGTGCGATATTGGTTGGATTAGGATCAAAGTCAACTATTGGGCTTGGACTATGGTGTGATATTGAGCATAGATGTGGTGTGATATTGGGTCGCAGTCAACTGTAAAGGAGTTGATAACAAACTACAACTGATTATGTAAACGATGAAGAACAATATGGACGAGAAGAAGACAGAAGGATGCTCCTTTATATTGGTAACGAGGGACAATCTTCAGTTTAGTTAAACGTTGTATTTATACAAGATATATACAAGTATATGGGCCTAATCTACACATACACAAAAAGGGCCAAGACCAATTACATACATGGACTAGGCAAATCTACATACACTAACATCCCCTATCGTTTTTTGACTTGTGCACCAACCATGGTTCTATTCAAAGGGCTAAGTATAACCATTTCAAACGCCTCATAATCCTGCACCAACCATGGTTCTATTCAACAGGCTAATTCTAATCTCGCCCCTTTTCACCTTTTCGGCTATCCATTTGTGTGGATGGTTGAAAGTTTCAAAGTGGAGTCTTGTGCCATTTTTTAAACTTGGGTTAATTAATAATTGTAAATATAAAATGTGATACTTTTTAATACGAAAATGGGCTCTAACACATATCAACAGGGGTAAACACCCCCATGCAGTATAACTTAAATCCGCTAATGCTTCATTAGAATTCACCGATGTCTATGATCGAAAACTTGTTTCGGTTCAAATCAAAATTTTATTTAATTTTTGTTAACATAGAAGACAGAATTGGCCCATTAGCTCAGTTGGTTAGAGCGTCGTGCTAATAACGCGAAGGTCGCAGGTTCGAAACCTGCATGGGCCATTTTTTGAACCTTACTTTTCGGTCATTATTGAGCCGGCCAATTTAATTTGGTTTTACATTGATGATGATATAGCTTTTCTGAATTTACTTTTTTTTTTCATTTTTATAAACAAATAGTTTATTGAAGACAATTCAAATTATTTTGGTATTACAATAGCAATCTAATTTTATAACAAATTTGTTAAAAAAGTTATATGGGTATACAGTTGAACTTGTAATATTGCCGATTTGTTTGACCAATTCAATATTTAATGTTCTTACTATATCATTTATTTATAATTTATAAATTGATTAAAACTAACAAGTAACCTCTCTAACTTTATATATTCATCTTTGTCCATAGATATCGATTCATTTTTTTTTATACTGAAGCACGCGGTAGTGAATTAATATTTTTTTTTTACATCTATCTTATTTATATTGATGTCATGACAATCGTTTACATTTTACGTTGTATACGTTTATCAAGTTCCGGAAATATGTTACAGTAGAGTCATGATACATAGATATAATGGGTTAACGTATAATGCTTACAAAAGAAATAGGAACTTTATGTTATTTTGATTGGGTTTTCGGTTATTTATATGAACAAACAAGATTGTTAATCTGGTAGTTAGAATTGCATAAGGGAAGTTATTATTCAGTATTATATCATAACAAAAGTAAAAAAATTATAATGTTTGTTATGGTTTAATATTATGTTTTTTTATGATTCAACATGGAATTATCATGTGATTTAATATTATAAATTATGAAACTATATAAATTGTTTGGGCTCAATACATAAATCCGTTGCACTTTCCTCATTGACAACTTTATACAAAGGTTCGATTGAAAGGGGCTTGTAGATTGAATTTTTTTTTTCTTGTTGTTTATACTATGTCTCCGATTGTACGGTTTACCATGTTTTTTTATACTATGTCTCATTCATATTTGTGGGTCTTTCACTTGTAAGCAGGTGCCAAATTCCTTGTTAGTTCAACAATACCCTCATTTTGTTATGTCATAGCTAAAATTGTTCCCAGGAGTGGCTCGACCATTTCGAGGGCTCTAAGCGAACAAAAAATATGGGACCCTTTGAATAATGGAAAACTAGAAAATAAGTGAAACAAATACCGTTTGGTGTTGAGGATTTGAACAATTGAGAATCAAGATAGAAGAATAAAAGATAAATGTGGTGTTTCAGTTTTCAAAATCGCACTAATGTGCCGCATGAGTTTCGTCTTCAAAAATCAAGATCGCTCACTGTGATGTGGCCTATTGGACAATTAGTAACGGGTAATTTATATTTGAGATATATTAATATTGAGTTAAGTTCGGAGAATAAGAAGCCCTATAGAATTGCTGGCCCTAAGCTTTAGCTTGAAAAATATAAGGTTGAGTCGTCTCTGATTGTTCCTCATGGTAGACTACTCGATTGACATTGGAGGAGTCATTTATATTTGAGATATATTAATATTGAGTTAAGTTCGGAGAATAAGAAGCCCTATAGAATTGCTGGCCCTAAGCTTTAGCTTGAAAAATATAAGGCTGAGTCGTCTCTGATTGTTCCTCATGGTAGACTACTCGATTGACATTGGAGGAGTCATTTATTCGGTAGGTTGTTACTTACGATCACTAAATAATGCCTTACACAACTAGATAAAATCCTCCGTATACACATGTGTCCTTTTACAAGATTAGATGCCTTCATTATACGCACTTAAGACTTTGAGTGCATAAAATTATCACAATGTAGAAAACTAGAAAATTGGGTAATATCACCGATGCATAATTATGTATTATTTCCACAACTAAGCAAAATCATCCCACTTGAGTGCTTTGGAAATAGGTAAAATTCGACTAAGAGAGTAGAGACAATATAACTATGTCAAGGTTTACTTTGTGTCGTATGTTTTTGATAGTTCACTCATATTATTGATTCAAGAACAACGAATCCATGATATTTGATTCTTTTATCAAACACGTGGTGTGTGTTTGTAACTCTTTCCACTCGATGCATAATTAACAACAGATGAACCTAATTTGTGAACCAAACATTGAAAAACGATAGATCATTTGACCCTTATTGAAAATTTGATTTACAATCCTTGGATTTGATTTATATGATGTAGTTTTGTGTTTCTTTAACACCTGTTTTTTGATCAACTAGACCTCGTGAAATCCAATTAGTTGTCACAAAACTTCCAATAAATAACTTGTCTATCACCTTTAAATTCGATCGGGAATCTTCCACTTTAACTCTTATACAATTATGCTAAATAAATATGCACAATGTGAGCAATCATGTTTGTGGAAGGAATTAGAACATGATATTAGATATAAAATTGCCATGGGTATGGGTTGGTCTCTCTTATTGATTTGTGTATATATACATGCATACACACTTAAGGTAAAAAAACTAGGAACAATTCGAAAAATCATTACCATGATTAGTATGTACTTTTTTTTTGAAACAACAAATGAATTAAACGGAAGCCTACTCGCAATATTTCAACGAGCATCTCGGGTTCGAGATCCTTTACAGGGCACCTTCAACCTTGTTAATTGATAGTGAAAGAACAAAATCCTGATATATGCCAATTAGGTAGAAAAATAGAGATCGAAACAAATAACTCGTGTGATCCAAAATAATAATAATAATAATAAAACATAATAGTTTAGAGTATTAAATAACTTATATCCATAAAATATTTGGTGTAACATATATAATGAATAAATATGAGTTAATATTTTAAGGTACAAAATTACCATGATTAGTCTTTGAGAGACTTATTATTTTTATCATATAAAAACTTATCTAATGAAAATAAATTATAGATATAGGGGAAATGTATAAAATAAATATATAAAACACATTTCCAAATTTATAAAGCTTTATAAAAAAGATTTTCAAATAGTAAACATCTTTAAGAGGTCTTTCAAATGACTTTCAAACTCTACTTGCAAGTGACATGCTTGAAAAAATGTTAGGCTAAGCTATGTCACCACTTATCTGGCAATATTTTCAAGTTGAATTGCAATGTTTCATGGATCCATATGTTTAAAACCATTTTCGAAACCGACTTAGAGGACAATTGCAAAAACTGATAATCACAATTGAAATATCAATGATATTATCATACTCGTTGGTATGGTCTTACAAAAAAAAAAAAAAAAACTACTCCAAGTGAATCTGAATCTGGTCAAAGTCAAACCAGCCTTTGACTTCATTTACAATTAACCCCCCTATACTTTGTATTTAGGTCATCCATTGTCCCAAAACAAAGATATTAATCTGAATCTTGGTATTAGTCAAGAATTCTTGAAGTCAAACAAAACGCCGCTTGATGGAAACGAAGTCTTGACAAAGTTGTTTGTATGCAGACATGTAATGATCGACGGTGAAGGACAGCTGCCTTATCACCTCCCTTTTCTCCTCCGACACCACTTCCACCTCTCTTTCCAATTCCACCATTTTCACTTTCAGTTCATCTCTACATGAAATTACAGCAGCATCATGTTTCTGATTCAAATCATCAACTAACTCACACTTTTCTCTGACTTCCGTTTCCAACCTTCCGATATCTGTTTTCAATTTATCCTCTTCGGCCGCATGAACAATTCTCATTTGATTAATCTCGGTACTCAATTTTATGATTTCATCATCTCGCTTTGATATATCAGCTGTGAATCTAACAGCTTTCTCATGCAGTTCATCATTCCGGGCTTGCTTTGAATCTAATTGCTGCTGTAACGAGGCTATAGTTTGACCAAGCGATAAAAACTGAGTTTGGTCAATATCTTTTCTAGACAGCTCTTGATTTAGCTTTGAAATTTCTTTGTCTGCTGTTAATACTTGCGTTCTGTAGACCTCTATCACTTTTGCCATTGTTTCAATCTTACGAGTTGACTCGCTGATCACAACTTTAAGCTCAGCCACCTTAGCTTTCTCAACTTCAAGAAGGGCGTTTTTGTCTTCTAATAAACTCTGGGCCTTCTTGCTCGAAGTAGAAAGCTCTTCTTCAAGAACTGAAATATTTTTCAGTAACTCCTCAGTGTCATGAACCTTGGTTTCAAGAAGGGCATTTTCGTCTTCTAAACTCTGGACCTTCTTGTTCCAAGTAGACAGCTCTTCTTCAAGAACTGAAATCTTTTTCATTAACTCCTCAGTGTCATGAACCTTGGTTTCAAGAAGGGCGTTTTCGTCTTTTAAGCTCTGGACCTTCTTGTTCGAAGTAGACAGTTCTTCTTCAAGAACTGAAATATTTTTCAGTAACTCTTCAGCGTCATGAACTTTGGTTTCTTTTACCTTTAATGCATCGTCATTGACTGGTGAAACTAGACGCTTGTTGATAGACATGATAGATTCTGACGCGGAAGCGGAACTGGATGATTTTAAGATGGAAGATTCTGAGCATTCGCTTCTAGAAATTTGAAAACCACCTCCACTTGAGAAAGTAAATTCAAAATCGGCAGGTGTTTTGAATTCATGTTTTTTACTCGATTCAGTAACTTGAGGAGAGGTTGAACCGCAAGAATCGACTTGCTGTGTCTTGATCTTGATGGGTGTTGTAAAATTTATGTGTGTTCTTGTTGACTTCTTTAATCAAATGATCAGCCAATGCCCCATGCATGCGTGATAACTCGGTTACCAGTTTTGTCAAGTTCAACTTCTTGCAATCGTAAATTTCGGCTGTTATTTCCGAGAATTTTTCATCTTGTTTGATCAGATCAAGGGATTTCTTTGACACATTGCTGGAACCCTAGTTTCCCAGAAAGTTGAAGCTCAATTAGTGTATAGATTGAAATGTAAAATACATATATTTAGTACCATAACTGAAATGTATAGTGATGAAATGATTCAGTAACTATTCATGTTCTGTAAGTATCTTACCTTCTACATTTTCTGCCATAATCTGAGTATCCCGTCCTTGTGACTGTGATTTTGATTCGACGCCCTCCATACGAAGAGACCAATAGCCCTTCAATACCTGCATATCATAACATAAGATTAAGTCTAGCTTCCAGTTTGAGTCATATGCGAGAGACTTGAGAGGATTATTTCATAAAGATTCAAAATCGAATGACTACAATTGAACTGTGTAAACATCTAGGTATCGTGTGCTATGTTTCTTACTCTGTTTTATGTTCTTGATTCTTCTTGATTGACTGCGTAACTTTCATATGATTCTTGATAATCACATTCTGATGTAATCCAAAAGTTCGATTCGTCTGTAAGTTTTGCTGCGAATTCAAATTGAAATCCCTGCAGTTCATTATCACTGAATTCATGTAAAATTCATTCTACAAAGCAATTCGTAAATGATAACGAAAATAAGAACAATTAACTGAACACCGACTTCCCTACTAATTATAATCAACATCCGATCTTCCACAACAAATCGAAGAGAACATCAATGAATCAAAATTAAAAGAGGAAAGTTGCGGATTTGACTAAACCTTTCAGAAGAACTGAAGTTAATTCGAGAGATTTGGTTTGCATCTGAAATGATCACTGATTGGAAAGATCAAAGCTCGTTCTGTTATAGAGAGAGACTATGGAATGAAGTAGAAACGGGCGAGAGAGGTCCGAACCAGAATAAAAATCAGGATTTTAGGGAGCGAATGTTACCCGCCTTTTTTCATTTTAAATAGACAAAACTGCAAATTTGATATGTGGTTTGTAAAAATCTTTGCATGGGGTCCAAAAAGTTTCCAGCTTGCACAGAAGGTCAAAAACAATGTCTTTTTTAGGTTTTCGGTCCAAAAAAAATTAAAATTACCTATTTATCCTTTTAATTTCAGTTTTGTATTTTATTTTCTTATTTATATTAATACTTTATGAAATAAAAATAAAAAACAAAGAAGATGACCCTCACTCCACCCCTACCGATACCTCTCTCTCTCTCTCTCTCTCTCTCTCTCTCTTTGTTTCACACACATGACTAGATGAACTCATTCATCCTTTATCCCACTCTTTTAGACTTCCTAAATCTCCAAATTCACTCCCAATGTCCTCTTTGTCTTCCTCAATCTAACCATTCTCTTGAATCACAATGTTTTGGGATTTCTTTGTAACCATTGTTGTTTGAAATCGCAATCTTACATCCAACAACAGTTCCTGGGTTTCAGAAATCCATGATGAGGTTTCCGCCTTTGTTCCTCTGTAACCTACCTGATTCGAATACCATTCGGGTCGGGTTTAATTTTCTATTTGTTGTTGATCAAGGAGAAGAAGATTTCAAAAGAATCGGGCAAGTCTTAGCCAAGAAAACCTCAAGAAATTCACTCCTAATCGGGGTTTCCGCTGACCATGTCCTCGCTGGATTCACAGATTCTTTAAAGATGGGTAAAACAGATTTCTTGCCTACCGAACGTAATCAACATCGAGAAGGAGATCCGTGAGTTTCTTGTTGGGAATTTGAGTGAAGATATGATGAATTTGAAGTTAAAGGAGGTAAGAGACAACGTCAACACCTGCACAAGCTCCGGTGTGATTCTCAATCTCGGAGAATTGAAGTTGTTTCTTGATGGGACTTGAATCTGCTTCCAATCTCCTCTTTTTTTTGTTTTGTTTGTGGTGGTGTCGTGGGAGGCAGCAACAACTCCGGTTTCTATTGTGTTGTTTTTCTCTTGTGTTCTTGTTTTGTTCTTGAGTGGTTTGAAAGGGAATATGCAGGTGTTTGAGTTGAGGCTAGGTCACCGAAACAGGAAGGGACAGAGGTGGAATGGTGGTAGGGTGGTGATGGTGTAAGGTGGTGTTGGGGGAGGCAGGAACTGATGGGTTTTGAGCAATACATCAATCCTATGGTGCACATGCAAACCCTAAAGCTTTGAATCTAGGTTTCTCTATTGTACATGCAAATCATCCAAAGCTTACAAACCCTAATCTACCATACAACAAAACTTGAAAATAACATAAATAACCAATAAGAATGTTACCTTGATTGTTGCTTGAAGATCTTTAGCGTATGAGAACCTAGCACCTCAAATGTGATGGCTCTAATTGATCACAAACACCAAAGCAAGTTGAATGATCTTGGAGAGAGGGGATGAGAGGCTCAAAATCGGCTCTAAGACTTCTTAGGGTTTCTGGGTTCCGATTTCTGAAGCCCTAGGGGTCCTTATATAGTGGAGCTGCTAGGGTTTCAGTCAAAACCCTAATTGGATAGCTTAGGCCTTAAGCAGTCCAATGGAACCTTCTGGAATAAGGCCTTGGACGATTTCAAGGTGGGCTTCCACCCTAATTTCGTCCACCCCTTTATCCACATGATCCACAACCCACAATCCAATTATCTTATAATTTCAATTCCAGTCCCCTAAGTTTAATTAATATCTTTTGATCACAAAATTAATTTCTTAATTAATTCTTGACCAATATTAATTAATCAGTATGATTTCTCTTTTAATATATTATTCATATAATATATTAATAAACCATAATATCCTCTTTCTCCACTAATCATCCAGTCAAGTTGCTCCGGCGAAGGCAACCTAAAAAGGACCATGCTACAACCGGATCAAGTACATACCAAATATAGTTATGGACTTAGACACTAATCCAACAGTCTCCCACTTGGATAAGTCTAATAACTATAGATGCAAGTATGACTTCAAAATCCGATTAACAATCGTAGCTCTCAAAAGCCGCTGTCGAACTCTGACTCGTCCTTTAGATAAGGGATCGTATAGTCCTCCATTCTCAAGATATCGTGCGGATAATTACATGGAACATAGTCATACTTATTGTCCATCAGTTTGTTTCTCGATCTTTGATTTGTCTGACATAGAACTTAATTGAACACATCAACTCAGTCCTGACCGGGCCCGACACATAAGTCAAACCAAATCATCGAGGGGCCCAGATATCGCTTTTAACCTCTTAGGATAAAAGGAACAGATAAACTTTAACTTATATGCATTTACTATTCACTAATCAAATCATGCACAACAATGCGTTTTATAACATCAAGTTACTGATGCGTTTACGCATTATCAATGCACAGCCAACTCGCAAACAATAAACCATATATCTAGGTTTAAAGACTATATGATATTATCGTCTTACGATCACTCGTGATAAATTCCATGAAGTGATACAAGTAAGCGTGGGTTTAATCCAATGCTCAAATCTTATTTCATAAGCACTCATGAACGTTGCAGCAAACTTTTGCTATGTCTAATACACTTTAGACAGTCTACAAACCAATTCACGACAGTCTTCTTTCATATCTACTTCCAACATATGAACGACTGTGGACTGTTCGAATAATCTTATTATTTAGGAAGTCAAAACATGCAAAGTGAAACAATAGGTAAATAATTAAAACAAGATAGTAACTTTACATATAAATAACACTCCTTTATTTAATCATCAAAATGTTAATTACAATTTATCTATTACACGTTTCAAAACTATCTAATCACTAAAACTTATATCGTCCTTCATCCCAATGCTCCTAGCGTGCTGCAAGTGCTTAACCCTACTCAGTCCCTTCGAAAGGGGATCTGTTGGGTTCTCTTCTGACGATACCCTCTTTAATACAAGGAGTCCCTCTTCTACCCAATGTCTAATAAAGTGATATTTCCTGTAGATATGTCTGGATCTGCCATGATCCCTCGGTTCCTTGGTTAAGGCAACCGCACCTTCGTTATCACATAAAATTTCCATAGGCTCCTTTATGGATGGTACAACTCTAAGGTCTCCGAGGAAGTTCTTCAACCATATTGCCTCCTTCGATGCTTCACTCGCTGCTATGTACTCTGATTCACACGTTGAATCAGCCACGACCTCTTGCTTGGAACTTTTCCAAGTCACTGCTCCTCCATTCAGGGTAAAGACCCAGCCTGACTGAGAGCAGAAGTTGTCTCGGTCGGTCTGAAAACTGGCGTCACTATACCCTCGTACCCTTAAGTCATCACTCCAACCGAGGATAAGAAACCATTCCTTGGTCCTCCGAAGGTACTTAAGAATATTCTTGACTGCGGTCCAATGCGCTCTACCAGGTTTCCCTTGATATCTGTTGACCATGCTCAAAGCGAAGGCCACATCAGGGTGAGTACAAGTCATAGCATATATGATCGAGCCAACTGCGGAAGCGTAAGGTACTCGACTCATCTCTGCTGTCTCGACTTCAATACTCGGGCTTTGAGTCTTACTCAACTTGGTATTGCTTTGGATCGGCAACTCCCTCTTCTTGGAATTCTCCATACTAAAACGTTTTAGTACCTTATCCAAGTAAGTATTTTGACTAAGTCCTATTAGCCTTTTACTCCTGTTTCTCACTATCCTTATTCCCAGAATATAGGCAGCCTCTCCGAGGTCATTCATAGCGAAGCACTTCCCAAGCCAGGACTTAA